ATATTCACTTCATAGTTTTGAAATATTTGAAAAATCTGAGGTGAAAGGAACGAGACACAGTTTTGAAACTGTATATAAACAAATAGATTATGTGAGAGCATGTGATATAGTATGGCTTTGTCATCATTCACTACTCTAAAACAAGACCATTATGTTTCGGGAGCTGGATCTGCTCCCATCTTCTGGAAAAAATACCTGTTCTGTTGGGTAGGATAGAAAAGGCTAATCCCAATCCCAGTGACGTATATAAACTAACAACTTCCTAATCCTCTCGACTTTAGCCCTGAAGATGGAGGTATCAACCAGAAAATTACATGGTGCAACAACCTAAAAGACCAACATCTAAATATTCTGAAAAATGATCAAACCAAGTGTCATAAAATGCTGCTTTTACAGTACATTTTGAATAAAAAGCTAACACGGGATTTTCTATTTTACGGACACAGTTAGAACTTCCCCAGCAAAAATGGATTTTGGGTTTTGTATTACCGTGTGTAATTTTGACAATGCTATGTTTAATGCTTTCTTTTGACAGTGCAGAATGATATGCAGTATTAGATTATTTTCTTCAAAACAGAAAAAGTGAATAAAAAGTATTGAACATAACCTCAAAGTATCATCACATTTTTATTATTAAAAACACGTCACGAGCATGCATTAGGGACAATATTTATCTCCATCATATTTTTAGGGCTGATGTCCATGGAATACATGGATTAAAATATACACTTGCAAGGAGAAAGTTATATTTATACGTAATCTGAATGTAAAATATCAGGTAGTCCTAGCGGCTGCTGATGGAAACTAGGTAGATGGAAACTTATCATACGTAGGGTCACGAAAGAATTTTTAACATATACTAATTCACGAAAATAGAAGAGTAACACGAAACAGGAGAAATATTTTATTGAACAAATATGGAACTTGGTGAAGGAATATATTACTATATTATTAACTTTACAGTTTCTGACTTTATAAAAATATCAGAAGAAACAGAAAGAGGAATTTACTGTCCATTGCGTAGACATAAAGAAATTTTAAAAAGTAAACCTGAAACTGTTACCAGCGATTGGTGAAATGTCCGAACAGTTTATAATTAATGCAGTTAATCCAGTGACAATGAATCAACCGATGACGTACAAATGAGCAGAGCAGAAAATCTGGATAAATGAAGTGTCGGCAGTCCTATCATTTATCAAACTGGCTATTTTGTATTGTTTATGTTTCACAGTTAAATCAATAAGAACGTCATACACTCACTGGACTGGAATATTTATAACAGTTCATCATAATAAAATCAACACACTTGCTAAATATTGATCCCAGCAGAAATGTCAATACTACTACGTGTTCATCTTACAAAATACTGACTTAAAACGTGCGTAAAATATTTTATAGAAACCTATGTCAATTTAATGTTTTCTGAATCTTTTTATTCAGCTCATTGAAGTATATAACGTTTGAGATTCTGACAGTGGTGAAGATATCAGTGTTTGTCTTCACATCATGAGGGCTCTGATAGATACCAATGTTACACAGATACTGTCTACAGCCACCTCACACACAACCCGATATAGGCACCCAGGCGCGTCTCCAAAATTAAATGAAAGAAGCCTGGAGATGTAATAAAAACGGATAAAACATAAGCAATATAAGCAGAGCAACAGATACACCAGATTTTAATTTTAATTTTGATAGACCTGACGATGATAGAATTGTATATCGAAACATGTCGTCAATTTTAAAATGTAACAATTTTATGTGAAAATTTTATATGATTTTAACAATAAGCTTGTGTAACGACGGAAAATAAAAGTACTGTATTGAGGAACACAAGCATGATGCAATTAAGATATAAGATATATATTCACTTCATAGTTTTGAAATATTTGAAAAATCTGAGGTGAAAGGAACGAGACACAGTTTTGAAACTGTATATAAACAAATAGATTATGTGAGAGCATGTGATATAGTATGGCTTTGTCATCATTCACTACTCTAAAACAAGACCATTATGTTTCGGGAGCTGGATCTGCTCCCATCTTCTGGAAAAAATACCTGTTCTGTTGGGTAGGATAGAAAAGGCTAATCCCAATCCCAGTGACGTATATAAACTAACAACTTCCTAATCCTCTCGACTTTAGCCCTGAAGATGGAGGTATCAACCAGAAAGTTACATGGTGCAACAACCTAAAAGACCAACATCTAAGCTTCAAGGAAATAGTGGATACGTACATTTGTATGAAACATTGGTATCTATTTACAGCGAAGAGAGAGACCTTATTTTTCTTCAAAATGTTCGAAACCTACAAGTCCACACGGCGTTGCTATCCAGAAGACAATATTTATTGTGATCGTCAGACTAAGTCGCCCTCGGAGGACTAGTGGTTAGCGTGCTAGCCACGGACCCAAGGTTCGCGGGGGGTCAAAACCGAGGTCGAGGTCGATGGATTTTTAAGGGTGATAAAAATCCGTAGCACAACTTTCTTCGGAGGGGAAGTACAGACGGAGGTACTAATTCGTATATTTACGGCATGTAAAAGAACCTCACGAGCATAAACGAGATGTTTCGTAAGCAAAATTCAGCGGCCATTTGTCACCCATGTCTCTCCTGATTCTCTACTAGATGGCTCTGGCAGTCAAATCAGGATTGGGTAGAAATTGTGCAGAGGCAGTGGGCTGGCCACTCACTACTCACAGATTCACGCTTCAAAGACTAAGAAACTTCCGAATGGATGCGGCAAAGACCCACAACTGGTTGTAGAGCCACAGGTAGAAGAATGGTCAGACTATAATAAATTTTTAGCAGCCATTACTATAATATCCTGTATGAAGACAGCCCACTGCCTCAAGCCTCGTCATGTCTGCATTTCACAACCTATAACTAATCCGTAAGACCAAAATGATATTGTCTGCCTGGTACTTGTGGACCACCGTGTGTCAAACTAAGAACTGTTCAATGCTACCATAAGCCAAAGATACAAAATTACAACTATAATTTTACCGATATAAAACTACGTAAAAATAATTACGTAATAAATTAAATTCCTGATGTAACGCTGGTACTAACTGTGATGCACAGTCATTGTATCTTGCAGAACGTGCACTTTGCATCTTGTTTGTATTTAATTTTAATCACCTGTTTCTTAATTTCCTAAATCAGGTAATAAGCGCACTTACCTGCAAGTATTATGCAGATTGCTAAAAAAATGCCTCGGACAACTTTGAGTGTCTCCTGACCTATAATCTGATAGCAAAACTGTCTATCTACATTAATTATCCACGCTCAGCCTTCAAGAGGTTCCAAATTAATAAAAAAGATATATGAATCATATATCCTGCAAAGATACATCGCTGTTTGATAAAACCTGACACCTCCCATGATCATGTTTGATTCTGAATACGCAATTCAACGATGTTCAACCGAAAGAAAAACAAACAATTCCTAATAATTCCCGTAATAAACACCACTTAAATATCAAAACTGATATTACTTTTATTAACATTCTGCTCTTTGCAGTATGTTTTAAACACGAACAGCAAGAAATTAATCTCAAACATTTTCATTTCATATTTTAATCCTATCTATTCAAATTATTCAATAGAATATTTCTGTCAATTAACGAGCCTCGTAGGTTCGTGACCATAACCTCACCTCTGGACAGCAAGTGCCAATGTAAGCCAGATGGATGCTGTGTGGAACATGGCTGGTATCACTTCATTCATGATGTTCCAGGCATAGCAGGCCCCTACAGGTGACAGCGGTTTGTAATGGTTACCAAACGTGTACATGTAGAATAGCCAAGGGGCAGGGAAAAGCAGAGTGAACATGTCAGAGAGTGCCATGGCCATTAATACCGCATTAGTAGGCGTGCGCATATGCCGTTTGGACAGCACCACAACGATCAGCGTGTTGGCGATGATGGTGATCACAAGCAGGAAGGGTACCACATAGCCGTACATGGGCTGGGCGTATCGAATTGGCAGCTCACACGTCACGTTTAGGTACGTCACGACGGTCGCATTACTCTCCCACATGTTGGTGCAGTTGCCCGCCATCTTGTCTACAATTCACTGGCTCACCATCTGCAAGCACAACAGATTGTACCTCAAAACACTCTTCGAAGCAGTATTCTGCACAGAGACACATTAGTTTCGAAATGTATCACCTGGTGTGAAAAGTTTTCAAAATTTCAAACCAAGCGATGTGTTTTATATGACAGAGATAAATAAACTTCATTATATAAGGAAAATTTACTGTTACTATGAATAGCAGGCCTGTTAATAACTTACATCATAATTCCTCCACACTTTAATTTAATATTTGTTCCAATTTTTTGGGGAAAAAATATTTGTCACCAGCTATTCAACTTTTTCCAACGTCAGAACCTGACCTCTTCATACCGAGTGCCAGAGTGAACCAGATGATAAATGTTTTCTGAGGTTGCCTTTTTCTATAAAACTTTCTTTTATCAGTGAGGGTATGTTTCTCGGATCGCCCTGATGATGGAAGCAGCAAAGACCTCTGAAAAGTTCTTCTACCAGACTACACGGCGCTACAACCCAGAAGACAGCCATACCTCAAATCCTACTTATGTTTATCGAAAGACCGAGTTTTCGTCGGAAGGCAGTTAGAGGACTGACGTACGCTCCAAACCGATTTTCCATTCTTTGCCAAGAATAAATTTCGTCCTATGATAGACTGGTGACCTAACTTTACACTGGTATTAAATAATTCAGAACCCTTACCGTACCAATCGCTTGATACTCTGGTGGCCCTCACAAACCTCATACACCCTTTCCTGCCCCAGCTGTACGTTAGAAATACATTATTTCACTCCATGGAGACTTGAGTCTTCATATAAACGTACAGTCCTGTGATTCAAATTTATCTCTCACGATACTGAAATAGATTCTGAAGTTACCAATGAATATCCCTCATGGTAGACAACGTATTTTTTTTTTGGGGGGGGGGGGGGCTTTATCTGACGTCTAAATTATAAAATTACGTTTCACAAGCTCGAATACGCTTCCGTCTTCTGGTTGGGGAAGACGACAGAAAGACTGTCATTTGGGCCTCTGCCGGAGCTAGCTTCAGACACCCAACAGCCAAATTTTCTGTCCTCTTCCCCCTTTTACTTGAAGACGGTAGCAAAATTCAACTTCCGAAACGTTATAACTAACTTCCTGGTAGCTGAACCCGCAGGTCCAACACCGACAACACCAAAGTCCGCCACCAGCCACGATCCTGAGCCAACTCCATCCATTTGCCATCCTCACTGCCCATCTCCCTAGGATCCATCTTGATATTACCCTCCCATCCCCTTCTTCGTCTGCCCAGTGGATGTTTTTAAGGATTCCCCACCAAAACACAGAATAATAACAGTTTTTGAATTGAATAAATTCAAGCGTTCGCCGAATGTATTCTACTCTTAATTTTATCATGGACCTCATTTCTATTTGTTATTGTAGTTCCCAGATACTTAAATTTTGAAACTTTTCCAAATGATGTGTTACTTATAATTATGTTCCGCCATTGATACTGATGTTAATCCCGTATTACACCCTTGTATTTACTTTATTCTTTGTACTTTGGACGAAGGAAAAATTTAAAAAAATATGTAAAAATATTCGCAATCAACAATTAATACAAGTGATCAAAGAAAAATTACTTTCATTTATTGAAGAAAACAATTCTCGCACGATAATAAACGACACAATTAAAAAGAACGAATTGTTAACAAACCAAATTATAAAAAACAAGACATCAGCTAATTAACGTACAGGGTATAGGCTATTTATTCCTGTACCAATCAATAGTTATAAATCTGATCAAGAAATTCTCTGCACGTTTTTACCCTGAAGTTTCATCAGCTTTTCTCAAAACGTGTCATTAATCAAAAGTAAATATAAGTAATTTCTTATGTAGTTAAAACTTCACAACTTTTAATATCAATTTAAATATTATTCTTTCATTTTGTCTATATATCATAGGTGTCTCATCTCAGTCCATTAACATGAATTGATCACACTAATGTTCAAGAACTATGTTGGTTATGCAAGCAACGACATAAGCCTAATTGCGTTGATTCAGCTCCGAGCGATAGATCTATCAATCCACCTCCTCCATCCATCAGATAGTGGATATCCATCATGGCAGATCTTCCATCACTCCAGGAAAAAGTTAAAAACGGGCTGTTTAATAGCACGTACTTTCGGTGTAACGTGGGTTCATTTGATTAAGAATGGAGTCCAGTGGTCGACTCTTGTGAACAATCGAAGTCTAATGAAATTTCTTGGTTCACGGTGGCAAATGGAAATTAGAATGTTAGAGATCGCGCGAGTAGTGGTGACACTTAAATGCGCGATGCGTAAGCCGAGAGAGGGGAGTTCAGTAGTAGTGGGGGTCGCACAGCCTCAGCTGCGGTGACGCGCCGAACTAAACACAGCTAGAGCTACAAAGCAACTGAAGCTGACACCCCTCTAGCGCGTGCTTCGGACGAGTCCATCTCATACGACCAAAATCAGTCCTTTGCGGTCGACCTATAAATGTTTTCGTTGACATCTGTACTGTTCTAATTTCCACAACTTTATCCTCCATTGTGTGGCTACAGTTCGATTCCAGCCCTATCCTTTATAGTAGTGGCTGTCCAAATATTTATACAGTCAAGGGACATTACTGTCTGGATAGATGATCTATGAGTTACCATATATATACCTCCATAAATAAAAATTCAGGCTTCGAGCTAGATTAGATTACGTGATCTTGCGGTCCAATTCACAGACTAAGGTTATCTATAATCTATTAATATTATTTTATCAAAATTTTCACTTACAATGAACTATGATCCTCGATGCTTCTGTCTCAATATTACTTCTGCATATACGTTTTTATCCCATAATGCTGTCCGAGGGCAAAATCATGTACAGTAAACCAAGGGCCAACAATACGACGCGAGTTCCCATGGTAACAGCGTAAGCGAGACGTTCCGCGGTTTACATGATGATTCTAAGACGAGGACGGGGGTGAGGGACGCGGTAGGAAGACAATTTAGCTGAAAATTTACTCTCTTACACATGAAGAATAAAACACACCAAGTTGGTTACACACAAACATAATTAAAAGAAAAATCTTCTTAGCCTTTTAAACAGCAGTTGTGGTCTTCATATGGTACTACAGCGTGTTTGGCAGACAACGTATAATAGAATTTTCCGCGTTCAGCAAATAATTTTTCGAATTTATTTTCAAGTGCATAATCGAATCCGTATTGTACTAACCAACGTTAAAGGAATTTACTGTACGTAGCACGCTTAAGCTAAAATTAAAACAGAAATTTCTGTAGGTAGAGAATCTGTCTTCGTGGAAATGAAGCTAATTATAAGTTTAGATATCAGATTAATGAGGCTGTAATAGGTCCTACTATGCTGGAGAATTAAGACATTGACGTCAGTACACAAGGATTACAGATAATTAATTACAGAATGCAATGGATTGAACAGAAACATTATTAGGATGAAGAATTTCTGAACACGTACATGGAGTGGAACACAGAACTGCTGACTTATCAGCGAAGAAAGTAAATAAAACTACATAATTATCATATTTCAATACCCACTGTATCATTACTGTCTTAAAAAAACATACATCCATCGTAAGTAAAATTCGGCCAATACTTCCATATCATGTGCCCCGTGTGTCTCATAATCGATTTTGATGATGATAATACAGAAAAAATAATTCTAATTGTAAAAATTGCAAAAATAAAAAAAAATCGTTTGAAAATCGAATACATTAAAATAACACCAACAGATGTCAGCTGTCACAGACCACAGGGTCCTAATATACTATATAAATCCTGAAGGGGTAATTCAATTCAATTCATTTATTCAATTCAATTCATGTATTAAAGTGCTTGACAACAGCCAAAAAGGCCAATAGAAGCCAAGCACTAACAACAATACAAATCTTACAATATAAAAGCAAACAAACAATGAACTGAATATATAAATGTACAATATTAACTTATTGTAAAATAATTAATAAGTAAATGAGCTAAATGTTATGGATAAGTAAAATAATAATTAAATTAAAATCAGTTCAATTCTGGACAAACAACATACAAAATAAAATATTATAATATAATAATAATAATAATAAGCATGACTATGCAATGAAATATAGTACTCGTTTCTTATTCATGTGGAGTCTGTGGTGTGTAATTTCGGTCGATAAACAACATGGTGATAGGAGACACTAGTTAAGCTACGTCGACAGTTCTGTTTATTTAGTGTGTCTCTTTCTTTTCATAAAGCTCATCATATAAGCTGACAATCGATCTACCCTTGTTTGCATAAGAGACAACATGACAGGCAGTGCGATGCTACAAGACTTCACTCACAATTTCTGCAAAAATGGTGCATGTCCGATAAACACCATTTTGAATATGGGACGTAGCATTGTGCTTACTTCCTCCACCACCAGGTCGATGATGGAAGGAGTAAACTCCTCTGAAACGTCGATCAGTAATCGGGTTACACTCTGTAACATCTCAGAACATGTATTTCGCCGAATGGTCTTTTATTTGATACGAGTTGATTCATGAAGCGATGCTGGTTGTTTTGGTACCAATGTAAGATGAACGCAGTCAATTACGGTGTCTGTGAATTCGGTTTATAGCACACATTTGCACAAACTATTCAGAAGGCGATTTGTTTTGCATACATTTACAAAATTAGAACTTTGTCCTTGTTTACATCAAACCACTCGATTTGCATTAGTGTCCCATGGCAAACAAGCGTTCAAACATGTCTTATGTCCGCTTCTCCTTCTTCTTCTAAAAAGACGACTGACTGACTTGTAGAATACTGTGTCGTATAGTCTGATAGAAACAGACCAATGCATCATCAGAACGATTAATAAGTAACGCCCGAAAGAGGAGTTTTACTAAACAGGTTAGTACAGATATTTATTCCTGTGTGAGTGTTCTATGACTACCCTAGTTTATTTCTGTCCCATAATGTACTGCGCATGTGCACACAACAACGTGAGAATAACGCTGTTCATTTAGGTTATAAATTCATGTATG